ACATATTAAATTATCGGAACTATAAAATTAATTGAGTTTAAACGTAACAGATTTTTGGGTGACGCTTGGTTCGTGTAACAAATCTATTTAACTGAGTAAAAAGACATAAATTTACCTCAAATATTGTATGATAGTATTTTTTTTCTGTTATCGTTATTATTTTATCTCAGGTGTCAGTATTTATATGAGCCTCCATGCATGCAGGGATCTTAGCCTTACAAGGCTTATCGTAATGTATAATTTATTTGTTAGGATACAAAGTACAGGTTTGTATAAAAAAATTTTTTAGCCACGTATCATATATTATTTTTTCTGTTAATATATAACGATGAAAGAGCAGAATAGCACACTTACACGTAAAGACTAACAAAACTACTTTGAAAAGTGGCATATCTATAGAGGTTGGAAGCACGGGTGTAAGGTTTGTGACGAATGCAATCATCATTCACATTTATATTGTAAGACATGCAAAAAGGTGGCGGATGGAATATATGGGGTCTGTAAATGTGAAAATTCTCGAATAATTAATGTTAAATAAAAATAAGCGATTTGATAATAATAAGATAAAATCTTATTGTGAATCGATATCTCTTTAGATATAAGTAATAAAATTTTTTATTTTTGCCAAATAAATTATGTAATATCCCAAATTTCTGACAAAGCGTGTCTGAGGTCACGCTCACATGATTATTGCGTCATATATTAAATTTGATCTAAACATTCAATATAATAAATTGATACGTGCACATAATAAGTAAAGAGTAAAAAATCATGACTCCGATCTATGCATAATTTGTTTGTAAAACAAGGCATAGACACAAGCACCACCGAGTTCTTGTTTAACATCAATTTTTTTATGAGGCCTATCCCTAAGTATTTTTAGCTTATCGTTATCTTCTCTGGTAGAAATATTAACCTTCCATATCCTCAGGTCATCGGGTTCGACGTTTTCGAATATTTTCTCTCTATTCTTTTTAATCACTTCCTTGAAATGAGAAACGGTCTTGATTTCGTCATTATGGATGTCAAACGTGAAGGAGGTACCTACGCCTAAAACAAAACAACCTAGCATAATATCGGCGCACCTACAAATCGAAAATTGAGATTAAATCGCTAATTTTTCGGTAAAATATAAAGTAACCAGCTGAGTAGACATTTGTATATCGCCAAACTGGTTTGTGGCTTGTTATGACAATGATTGAAAAAAAAAAATCAATGCGATAAATATAGTTAGAAAAATTTTTTGGCAAGTTGGGTAATATTTATATAATGAATTTTTAGGTCACACGATTGATCCATATGAAAATCAACGGACAGTCGTACAGGGACCCGGATATGAATTTTTTTAGATATCTGCTGATTACATTATAGTTGAGATTTTTTAGCTTCGAAGTAGGCAAAATTTGGAACAGACACACGTTTTTATTTTGAATATAACCGCATTTTATGTAAAACAATGGCAGATTCACAAACTACAATTGCTTTGTTAAGAGAATTAAATTCTAAACTTACACTCGAGATTGCCGAACTTAGAAAGAAGTATGCTAAGGTTGAGGCTGAGAATATAGAATTAAAGCAGATTATAGAAGAGAATACAGAATTTAAGACTAGATTTGAGGAACAAGATAGGAAAAATAAAACAGATATTGCACACCTTATAAACGAGAATACCGAACTCAAATCTAGGGTTTTGAAATTGGAACAAAGGTCATCACAAAATGACAAAGAAAAAAGCAACCTTATTGCTAAATTAGATGATAATGCTACATCTTACAAAACGAATTTTGATGATACTCCTGAACACAGAGAAAGTATATCTGACAATATTTCTAATTCTGATATATACCAGGAGTCAAATATTCAATACTCTGAACCACATATTCGTACAGAGTCTGAATCTTCTGAAGATAAAGAGATCAAGTTTCTGAATCGGGTATATAAAGGAACTGTTAGCAATGAAATAAGAGAGAGAAATCGAGAAAAGAAGCTCCAAGCCCAAAACTCTTTATTATATGATAAAGATCATTTATTATGTGATATAAAAACCGTTTCCCCGGAAAACGATCGTGACAATATTGAACGTAGTGTAGATACTACCCAAATAAGTGATCAGCAAAAGACTATTCCGAATACTCATTTACCGATGGAAAATCTTAACGATTCTGATGAAATTGAGCTTACTAAAAATCAAAATATAGAACTAGATTTAATACGAGATTTGCAGAATTGTATGCTTATTGCTTTACCTGATCCCATAGAAATACCTTCCAAAGACATCATAGATAATGAAAAACCATCCTCTAAAATTACAACACAAAGCTTGATCTATTTATTTAAGAAAGCAATACGATCTGGGCATCAAGAAATTTTATTCTGGATTTGCTATTCTGATAATTTTGAGAATAAAGTTATTGAAATTCGACATAAGGCGAGAGTTAACAATAAAACTGCAAGAACCAAAATGTATAAAGAAATGTTAGAACATTTACCAGGTGTTACATCGGTCGCCTTGCGAATTAAAACTCTTAGGGCCAGAAAAATTCGTAAGCTATTTGGAGAAAATAGAGTTGGAATTGATAAAGTTAAGTATGTTACCTGCAGTGCAAATAATATTTCAAAATTAACCAATGCACAAATTCAAAACATTATAAATCAAATAACCTCAAAAACCATTTCTCAAAGAAACGATCAAAATAATGTGACCGAAACAGAGGTAAGTGTTACAACCACACCCTCTATCCCATTGTCTCATACATCTAATTCAGAAGATATGATAAATGAGGATGATAAATCTTTACCGGAGACCGAAGTAAGCACATCATCTAATCCAACCCGTAATCATGTTTATTTCCGTAATAAAACATTAAAGCAATATCCTAATTTATATCGAGAAGGTAGTGATGGAAATGACGATTATTATGGAATTACTGATGAATCTTTATGCCCGCTATGTAAGTTAGATCATGACGATGAAAATGGTATAGAAGGCAGATATAAAATTGGATCTTATAATCTTAAATGTGAACAACGTGGAATTGAAGTTAAGGTAACAGCATAAACCCTGCCTTCTCGCAATATTTGCTTGAAGCCAGAAAGTAAGTGATCACTATATGTACTTGCATTTAAACAGAAGCTAATCACTTTTTTTTTTTCTTTTTTCAAATTTATAAGAAAAAAAGGCTCTGAGGCATATTTATTTTTGTCTGCTATTGTTAATTTAAAGAGATGTGCAATTATATAAAACGGCAATATGAATATACAGGCAAAAGCCAATAAAACATTAACTCCCGAATATTTGGAGTAGGAAGCTAAATTAACAGAATTGCCAAGCCCTTTGACAAATAATATTCGTTCTAGGTTATATAAAAGATATAAGAAAAAAACTGGACTCGATCCTTGGATAAACTCTGAAACTTCTGAACCCTCCCAAATCGAAGATAACAAGAATGAAACAGAGGTATGCATATTACCTATAGACAAAAATACATCTCTCAATTCTTGTCTTCCCATTTCTATCTTACCCGATGATCCAGTAGAAAGACGAAATCTTGTTATTTATACCACATTGGAGCAATTCAATAATTTATCACTTAAATGTAGCAATAAAAATAGCGATTGTTATAATTATTCAGGAATATGCCCTTTATGCAATAGAGATCATAAAGAAAGTATATGGAGAAATATAAAGGGTGAATGGGGTTCTGGTAATTATTGTGGTGAAAAAATGTATCGTCTCTATTGTTGTAAGAGAACTTTTAGTGGAATCCCCATAGTAAATGTGAAAGCATAGAGCGAGCATCATGTAAACTATCTCTTAAACCGTTTCTTGTACAAATTTGTACTGAAATTTTTTTTTAAATTTTTATTTTTAAAATAAAATTTTAAATATTTATTTTAGCTATATATTGC